TTCACCCAAGTAAAACTAAACAACCTGTGCGTGTTAAAAAAAGTTGTATATTTCGGTCGTAATTGGCTAGGTTTATTGAATACTTTTGGAGTATTTTACTCAACTTATTATATTTGAAAAAAAATAGGAGTGCTTGGTACAGGTCTGATGGAACCGTCCATGCCAGGTCCCATTCCAATATGAAAACGATTCTGAGCTGATCAATTTGATCCAAGTTTTCTCACATCCAGTCACTTGACATTTAGGTTAATACATAAAAATTGCACCCTATTATTAGTATTATACTTATATACCCAGGAAAGCGTGAGTCTCAAGGCTCTTTTTCAGGAAGGTTCTGCCAAGCTCTCACAGTTGGAGGTGGTGTATACTATGTGTAATCCCAAATTGAGCAATTTGCAAATATATATATTTTTGGCATTCAGATGTTTGACCAACAAACGTTGTTTTTGCATGGGATTTTTTGGTAGCTCAGATCAATGGGCAGCACCACTCTAGTGTAGGCACACCACCCCCCCCCCCCCCTTTTTAGGTACAAGGTCCTGGGTTCGATTGCCAGTGACATGATCAGGCAATCAAGATGAAATCTGGTGAAGACCATTTTGATCTATACACAGTAAGTTCAATCATTTTATCAGATTCAAATATTTTCCAAAATAAAGACTGGTTCTAATTCTGCTTTGCACCAAAAGTGCTTCTTGATGACATTCTATAAATAGATACAATGTAACAACATAGGGGCAATTAAACTATACATTAAGGGAATTACAAGAGCAATGCAGACATATGAGACATGCTGTTTAAACGGGTTAATGCACTGCACCCAACCTGCTGTGGAAATAACCTCATGGTTAGTGAGGCTTGACTTGTGGATTGTTATAAAGTTAATGTTTTTATTTTACAGTTATTTTCATGGTGGTTAAGACTTGGCTAACATTTATTTTAATTACATGTAGTTAGGTATCGGTTTATACGAAGAATGTAATTATAAAAATAGTTTACAATTACTTTCAAGATACTTTACAATGAATCTCAAGGTGACAGTTACGACCTCACTGTTATGAATACACCTACCATTGGATCTCAGAAACTAAGGACGGCTAAGCTTGATTCGTGCTTGGATGGGTGACCTCTGGTGCATAACAGGTGTTATAGGCATATGACTACTAGGACTATGAGGAGCTAGGGGATGGCAGTACAGCAAAGGGTGTGATCCACAAATGGGTTTTGGTCCATTCACTTGAAACAGTCTGCGGATAGAACGATCAGTGTGAGGCTTTGAGCGCTATCCCCTCAGGTACATGGGCTTTCTCCGGGTACGTCATTACCCTCCCACATATTAAACAATCATTGATGGTACCGGTGAACATCCAAATAAAAAAAAACCTCTTGAAAACGTCTATATACTCAATAAAGCTCACGTGGATTTTAATCAAACAATAATAAATTACTGAAATGCATTGGGTAACTGATTTGAGCATTAAAAAAAATAGCTTGTGTACTGTACGTTGACCTTATTTCGCACCTATGTAGTCAACCGTGCTAATTGAATGTGCATCTTAGATGCTGAATATATCTAATCATGGGGAACTCAAGACATGAAACTAAACATGAGTAAATGCATTTTACACTTAAATGTGGAAAATAGCTATCGTTTGCGTTATATATGTGTGGACATAATATACCTACAAATTGTATGTAGTGATACAATGTAATTTTCGTCGAATGTATGCACGATTAGGCATTTGAGCGTTGTCACACTGGTTCACACACTGCACTATTAACTCAGGGACCTGAGTTCCTGGCCATGGCTAACATCAGTGGTGAGTGGTTCTAGTTCCCCCCCCCCACTCTTCACCAACCCGCACTAACCGGCATGGTGACGTAGGAAAAACACAGCCAGCATTGTAATGACAAAGGGCTGTAAGTAACTAGTGTATGCAGGATATCTGTAAATGCAACATCACGTAGGAGGATTGTGCAGTAAAATGCTTAGATATTCAAATCTGAGTTTCAACATCGTAATACCGAGGCGTTATACAATAACGTGTCGCAGACACAAATACGAAACCGTGCTCGACTGTGGCATTTCAAAGATCTAATTAAACACTTTCCAATCCTCAAGCCATTGTATACATGCTTTTGCCAAGGCCAAATTAATTACCTGCAGCAAATGGATAACATTACGTGGCAAAGGGCTTATTGAAGAAATAAAAAAGACAAACAGCAACATATTATAAAATGTTTGCCTGCTGTAAATTACAACACTGCTATTAGTAGTACGAATATTCAATTTAATAGCAGCAACCAAGGAGCCACTGTAAGGTGCAGCTGGCTTCTTTGGTTATTTAAAACATTGAGAATGTATATTATCTACACAATATCTTTTGCTGGTTTACATCATCACAACACAAAACTATACATTGTAAATAATAAACGTGCTTTACAGTTAACACTATTATACGATCGTTGATAAGTAATTAACTCGATTTAACTAATATAGAAAAATGACTCAGTAAATCAATAAACAATTATGATGTGTTTATAAAAAAAAAAGTCTATATATATTTTTTACTCTCAAGAGATGCCTATCTGAGTAATGAGTTTATTTTTGAAATGCCATTCTGGTTGTAAGGCACTCCTCCCAAGTGTTCGCTCCAAGGAACACAAGAGGTCATGGAAAGTCTCCACTTTCCGAGTGCTGCATCTACACAGCTCTGTATTATTAAACCAACTTATAACTTGGCAATCTACTCCTCGACCACTCACGTAGAATGGGTGCCCCAAAAACATGATTGTTTCAATTTAGACCAAAATCCATGCCCTCTTCTATATCTGATTAATCTCCGCTGGGCATCACAAAGTGCTGGCTTAGCACTGGACCTCAGTGCCCTTGACACCCCCAAATAAGTAGGCTATGCTGTCAGCACTGGCGGTGCCAGTGGGAGGTGGGGTGGCACGTGCTCCCCCAATGATCCGATCGAAATCCCTAATTTCGATCGGATCATCGGGGTTTATTAGTAATAAATCGGCATTTTGCGACCCCCACTGCCACTGTGTAGCATATTATTACGTGCCAGGGACTCTATGAGATGATAGGACAATAGTCTGAGTCCATAATTGGCAATAAGTAACGGCAAAGCAGTTATAAGTGACTCACAGAATTGTGCGCAGTTGCGTATACAGGACACGACTTCCCTGAAGGCATCAACACCTTCAGCGAGCGCGACGCCGATCACACAACGCGGTTCGAATTCGACCCTCGATCGATGGCTGTGCCATCGCCGCACATACGTCGAATAAAAAGCAAGGGACAAGTCCTCACTAACAACTCCTCTATCATTGTTCATTGCTGGAGGGGTTGCCCCCCCTACCTGAAAATCCTGGCTCCGCCATTGGCTGTCAGTGAAGGATATTTCCATTCCTCTAGGCACCTCCGGGCAATAGCTGGAAACTGTAAGACGGGCAGTCTGGGGTAGTAATATCGGCCTGAGGGTGGCACTCGGCACTGATGTCTATTTTGAAGGAAAGCTTCCGCTTTCTGAGCAATTTCCTAAATTCAAGCGTTGCACAGTCTATCACATAGCACGCAATGTTCCTTGATATGAAATAGGCCCATTTATGCAGATTATTAATAAGCATGTATGTAAATAGTTTTAGTTTAGGTTATATCGCTCATCTATCAAAGTGGAAACTGTAGTGATGACGCGAAATTACATAAATACACAATTCAAAGCCATTGGCGATGATGCTGTGACTAAAACAAGTTGTTACTAGGATCGCAATGCACAGAGAAAATCCTCAGTTCTGTATGTATCGAAATATGTAAAACAAAAAAGTGATCTGCAATTAATTCAAAATAATTGCATGTGCTGGTTAACCGTGTAATATGTCGGTATAATCACTGTTTTGCATTACGTGTGAATCATGTCCAGTGGGTTTACATGACCCCTGAAACAAATAGGGGCTGCAGTATTCACCATAATTTAAACATTTATTTTTATTCCTGACTAAAGACATTGCTGAATCGCAATTATTCATCACAGGGATGGATGGGTTAATCGTTAATACAATGCACTGCTCAAGGAAGTCACCTCGAATGTGGATGGTCTATAAATTAATAGTTTAATGCCGTTGACATCTTTGGCAGTAGTGGCATCATCATTATTATTATAGCACAATCGTGATCAATCATCACGTCACTAAAAGTAATCAAATATATAGAGAGCAGCCTCACAGTGTCAGGGGGTGACAGAAGGGGCCCCCTTCCCCTACTCCCCCACCCCCCTCCACCCAGAGTTTGTATAAACCCTCCTTGCAAGCAAAGTGAGTCACGCTCTCAGGGTTAACACAGAGCAATGTGCAGCGAGCCCCGACGTTGAGTCCAGTTTGAGACCACAGAGTAGGAGCACCGCTGCCCACTTCGACCATTCACTGGCAGCATTTCAGATATTCACCATGCGGCTTCCCCTGAAGCCATCCCTACTGGCTCACTTACCAACCACAGCATGAACATCTTTACGTTGTGTATTTGAAATTGGCATTACGTATCTCCCATGAATGTGTCACTTGGCACTTGGTTGCATATAAGATGTTCCACCTAAGTGGATTATCCAGATAATATATTTTGACAAGTAAATATATATTTATTTTAACAGGTAAGGACCACTGAGCTAAATAGTTATTTTTCAGAATGGACCTTGCCCAAAATTATAGCTCAATTAAGTGGATTATGTGGAAATGTATAGCAGCTCTAAATACTCTAAATGCATGTTTCTATATGTGCAAGGAAACACCTGAGGAACCGGAGAAAAATCCACGTGACCACGGGGAGAACATGCAAACTCCAAATATACATACGTCAGGGTTGGAATCGAACCCATGACCTCCTGTATACCAGGCAAGGAAGTTAACATCTCTCCAAAACACATGAACATTGCTGAACCACTTACACCGTACAAAAGAAGGTCACTCTGCCAACAGTTCCTGCAACCAATGCTCACCATTGCGAGGGGGATGAGTGCCTGTGCATCGCTCTGCTTGACGACAATTTCCGTGTTGATGCGGTCCAAGGAAGGGGCAGGTCCTCCCTGCGGGTACTCGAGATGCCAGAGTAAACGACGAAACGCAGGGGCGAGGCTGAAGCTCTCCACCACCATCTCAATACGAGCCATTTCCAGCGAGCCGGAGTTGTCACTGAAGGATGAATAAAAGAAAGCATTCAAAGAATTAGAACAAAACTGCTTTTCAGAAGCCTGGTCCATGCTCGTATCTCTCATAAGGAGAGTAGTAAAAAAACACGATTAATTAATTCAATGACAAATGGCTAAGAGGACACTCAAAATGCTATTTTAATTTAAAGTCTAAATGGATAATATATCCAGGTGGTAATAAGCCCAGGTTGGTAATGATATCTGTCTGTAGCCTTGAGCCAATAACAACGATTCAACATTCCTACAGGCAAATGAACATTGAGTTTCCACAATGTAGTCGACATTTTCATCAACATCCATGACCAATCCACTGCAGGATGAAGGCCTTCCCATTTCATAGCAATCTCTAATGCTGCTGCACATGAGCTAAATTCACCACTACATCTACGTCGAGGGTGTCCACTTGGGTATTCTCTCCTTTGACTTATTTAACTGACCTACAAATTGTAACGGACTGAGTCAATCCCAAAGCAGTATTTAAACCCCAAACATCCACCTGTGAGATGAGCTCTCTTGCCATGTAACTCATTGTAAGCCACGCTACACTTGTGCACTGATGTCCTCATTACATTTTGGAAATATTTGCAGTTTTAAATATGTTCAAGTCATACGCATCAATTCAACATTGAATATATTGCATGGCGAACAGTATTTCCTGGGGTCTTGCGAATACTTTATGATGCTGGTGGTAATCTAAAGTGAAACGTCGTACAATATTGTCAAACCAAAATCAATTGGCACATTTGTCCACGTGGCAACTTGATTTGTTTGGCTGTGTAGGGCGGTGGCCGGGTATAGTTCTAATTGAAATTACAACCACACAGCCTAACCCAAACAATTAATTATTAATCGTGTTCTGTTCAATATATGTGAGTTACACACTAACACACACACTACAGCGACAAATGTATTCAAGCAAAAGCTGTACTCCGAGAGCACATCAGACTAATAGCATGCACACGGCATTGCACACTTTGTATTTAAATGTATTTATGAATGCCAATATACATTATTTAACAATTAATGTCATCAGTTTCACAAATTTTGTGAATTTGCATCAAATGTTTGAACTTCAGTTGAACACTCCGAGATTGATACCGTTAATGAATACTAATAATTATTATATTAAAGTGTGAATGTTATGTTGTTTTATATGCATGTTATAAACTTATATAACCATAATGATTCAATCGTATAATTTAATTAGTGTCCAGGTAGTACTTTAATATGGGCACTCTCACTGTGTGCCTGATGTGATCATATTTCATTATCTTTTATTATGCTCATTGGGGATGGTGAACAGGTAACTATATTTTAATTTTAATACACTCAACAAAGCAATGACAATAACAAGCATGAATTATACATAACCTAACGCTCCATCAGAGCGCAAATACTTTTCGCGTCTGTGAAAGTGGCAACTTATTCACGTGTAACTTTCGTGACGAGTATCATAAAACACATTTATATCAGCATTAATTGATGTATAGATAAGTACGTATATTTAGATGTGCTTTTGCACCACTGCCAACCCGGGTGTCACCAAATAATTTGTTAATTTTGAAGACCACAACTGCGAAACCTCCTATTTTTAAGACGAATTCGCTATTTCCTGTCTCTTTTCTCTGCTAAGTTCTCTTGTATGAAGGAGGACTATTTTCCTAAACGTAACCCATTATATATTTTTCTCCTTTCAAGGCCACAGTGTTATTGATGGACGTGTTTAGGCTTTTTGATGGAGAGCTAAAGGCAGCTGCACAGTGTATTTCATAAGGAGTGCATTATAAAGTTTTTTTTTATCAATCACTGACATAATTTTAATAACCATATGAATATTTGAACTCCTAACAAATATTATTCATATCAGTGTTTTCATACAGAGATAAGTACCAACCTCAATTATTAATGTTTTTTTTATGCACGGACACTTGCAGTATTTAAACGGAAATTATCTAAAACCCATACAGTATTGCCTCACCTTACTCCAGCCGTAACGAAAAGCTTAATTAATAAACTGAGATGTTATGTAATGCAGCGTGCAATATAACTAGGGGGCAGGGGGGGTAATGTAATCATTGACATAATACAATACTCTAGAGGATTTACTTGTAACTGTTAGGCAGATGTTCATTTCCCTGGTTAAGGCTACAAACATTATATCAATCGTAACTTCGCCATCAAAAAGAAGCTGATGTATACACGCCCCTGGGATGGTGTACAAAGTAATAATTCAATGTTTCAAGTTTTATTCTGCTCTGAAAACGACACAGAATGATGAACATGTTTCACAATCAAAATATGCAATGCATATAACACTTTTTCTAGACATTTTTTTAACTGAGTAAAATGTAAAAAATAAAATTTGCCATGGCGAATATTAATAACTAGATCAAGAAATGTTCCGCCCTTCCCAGATGATGACTGCAGTTATTCGTGAAAAATTAGCATAAATTCAATAAAAGTGTGATTAAGTCACATATTGATGTATTTCCCTTTCAAAAGGTTGTCAAACCTCCCAACCAATAACTTAATTTTGGAACCCCCAGGAGCTTTGGCAGTGTGCTATATAAATATATAGCTCTTTGGTTTAAATCGTTGTGTCACGTGTGTGACTCTACTATTCCATAGATGACTAATTGGTGCGTGATTCATTCAAAACTTTGTGATATGGATTATTGCTAAATCTGGGGCGAAGTCATTCCAGTGAAATTTGTTAAATCATTCAACAAGTAAAATCACGATATTTTACTCAGTTTTACCTTTTGAAATTGTTTATGTCAATAGAATACGTGTGCTGCAGTTAATTATTCCAAGCATATGAAGTGTATGATACAATATTGTGAAAAATAATATGAGAACTTTGCAAAAGAAGCATGAAGACGCATGTTTGGAATCAGATTGAGAAAAAAAACGTGAATTAATTACACCATATGAGACTATCAACAAGAGTTGGCTTGGGCAAGCCACATCGCTAGAAGGCAACAATTGACTGATGAATAAGCATGTTAACAGAACGTCAGCCAAAGGAGGCAACATGCCTGAGAGAGGAAGACAACCACGGGGCAAGGAGATTGTCTCAACTGGTGTAACAAGATGGACTTGTGGCACCGTGGGATCATGAAGCAAAGTAAAGTCATGAGGAGACCATAGTCCGGTCATGGTTAGATCATGGCAAATGATGATTAAAATTTGAATACCCCCCCCAAAAAAAAAGTATTTCATTATTTCAAACATATGAAGTGCATCTTGCAAAAATATACACAAATGTCATACTCCGGAAAATGAACTAAATGCATGTAACGTTTATAGTGGTTACAGAAATGCACCATGACCCTGGCAATGCGAGTTTGATTGCAGTCCATGGTTGCATTACACCTAATGCCAGTGCATTGTGAAATTAGAACTTTCATGAAAATACAAAGGCTATTTATCGTCCGGTCCATTCCATCGTATACTTTTACCCTTCAACCAAGCCCATTTTTTTTGTTGCTCTCCATTTTGTTTAGTCAGTGGACTGAAAACATATAACAAATTGCAAATGCTGCAACCTTCACGTAAACTTTGACCTAATTGGTGTTATTATCAGGTAATACGATTTTAAATACAATTGCACCACAAGTCGTGCTCATATTCAAGGTCGTTTTCTATCAGACATAATATATCTTGTCTGCTTTCTCAGCAGAAAATAGTACATTCCAATTCCCATGTATGTCTAGAGGTAGCCCAAGCGATTCGCTATCCTTGGGCAATAAATAAAAATGCATGCAAGATACTCGGCATTACCTAAAACAATATCTTCATTCGTATTCCCATTCAAGGCTAGCAACTGTGGCGAGATGTTAGCTACCTCGCCAGGTTTGCAGGAGGTCATAGGTGCGATCCTGACCCTCACACTTGTATATTTGGAGTTTGCACGGTCTAGTTTATTTTCGTTTTTTTTTATATATATACATATTTAAATTTCATATGTCATCAACAGCAGCCTTGGTCAATTCACTGCTGGATGAAGGCCTCCCTAAGCTGTTGCCATCTCTACCAATCCTGCAATGTAATAATCCACACAAGCACCTACACACGAGCTGACTTTATCACTCCACCTCCTCCTCCTCGGTGTGCATCCTCTTGGGAATGTGCTCCGTTCCTCGGCTGCTACTCCGTCATCATTGTTGACCATCTGCTAGTATCCCTTCTAGCAACGCGTGCTGCCCAAGTTGCGTGTGCTTTGCATCCCAAAGGCCAGCACGCATTGCAGGAATTTTTTTTTTTACACTCGCTTTCGGCTCTTGCTTGGTTTATTTGCACAAGGCAATATAAATAAATTAGTGAAAAGGTTATAGAGTACTTTTGTGCAATCGAGCACTTTGTGCTGACGAAAATTGTATCTTAGCATTACAACTAATGGCATGCTTTTCCACATAATTGCATTCTGAGAATGCAACTTTCCCAAAAAAGCACCAAGGCCATGTATAGTTTGATCGATTCCAATGTACAATGTAATCTGTGTAAAAAAAAGCATACCACACTTGATGTACACTAAAAGGTAAAGGTGCAGTACTACAAATGTCTTGCTCACACTGCTGCTGGTGGAAAGGCCTCCACCAGAGGGAACACTCTAGTGGGTATTTGGCCTACTCTTCCACACTTTACTCCACCACACGTAACTTGCCGAGCAACTAAATAAGGTGTATTTAATGACAATTGCTGGGTGTACAGGGGAGGGGAGTTTTAAGAAACTTAACCCTTCGTTCCAATGGCAATGCTGGGAGATCGAACCGCTCAATTTCAGCGCCAGCGTGCAAGCCATCTCCTACAGAGTATTACTAAATATAAATGATATGCAGTACAGAACATGTTTCAAACCCCTCCATGAAATACATTCTTTGTTATCTCTAGCTTTGAAGTTTAAAGTGTTTACTATTGTAAACTAAATGTTGCCATATCATATTTTTTTGTATAGTTTATATGAACAAAAACTGTCCTGTC